TTTATGAAGAAATTATTAAGTTAATTAACTAATTAAAAATAATAATTGGAATAAGTAAAATAAAGAAAAGAATAAAATTCAAACCTAGGGGGGGTTTGTCCCCCAAATAGGAGGTTTTTATTTGGCAATTTGGGCCCAATGGCCTTTGGCCTGGCTGACTTTCCATGCTAGCGTGTGAGTGCGTTGACTGAGATTTACCATGCTCTCCAGATCTGGGCCCTTGGATTGATGAGATTGGCCAAGTGGCGTGTTGGATGGAGCGTTGTATGGTAGGCGCCTTGTACTGAATCTGCATAGAATCATTAGTGGAAAAATAATATGGAAAGGGTGAAGGACCTGGGGCTCGAACCCAGGTCTTGATGAATACCAATGCTATGCCTTGCCAAACGAACCAAACGCGCTTTGTGTATATCAAATAACAAACAAATATTATAAAATAGAATAATGCGTTAGTGCCTTTTGCGCGCGAATTTTTAAATGGACCAACCATCGCTCTACACATCATCATCTTCCTCCTGGTCTTGTTTCTTTCCTGAAAATAGAGAAGGGTTAGCGGGGGTTTTGAACCCCCCCAAAACAGGTCATATACAATAATAGCGATTAAGCCATCTTTGAGCATAAATTAGGCGCGAGGGTCCTATCTTTTTCGTCCAAGCACGCTGAATCCAGTTATGGTATTGAGAACGTCCAATTTTACCTTAGCTGGGAAACCCCAATTCAAAGCTTCACAAACCCTAAAAGACAACAATGGCAGATTTGCATATAGTGTATAAAAACGCAATTAATCCATGTGGTTAGCTTCAGAATACATCATTTAATATGAATACACAAACAAAATGCCATGAAAATGCCTAGAACTCAGAATACGAATATGCATTTATATGAAAAAAATTTGATTTATGTACAATGATTTAAGGCGTTAGAGTTGGTGTTCTTGATCCAGGTACGTTGCTTGATGTCCCAGGGATGCAATGGACTGATTACTTTGCCTTGAAATGCTTTGGAATCACGATTTCTGTTTTGAATTTTTAAGCAAGAAACTCAAGTATGGTTTTCTGTATATGGCGCAGCTTGGACCTTCTTAGCATTAGGGTTGCACTTGGTACTTATGTGAGAATGATTTAGGTCAAAAAAATTGATCAAAACATCCATGAATTGATGAAAAAGATATTTGATTTTCAAGCCATTATTTTGCAATCTTTTTCACATATTTTTGATGCCAAACACATCCAATTGCCTTTGAATCTTTCCTAATCTGATTTGCACGAAATCTTGGAGATGTTTTATGCACAAAAAGATTTGAAACATTAGGTTTAACATTTTTCATGTATTTAAATGAATTATTAATAATAAAAATCCAAATAAATAAATAAAAAATGAAGAAAAACTTCCCTTTGGGCCAAATGGTCGTGCACATGCCTTGGATAATGAATTGTGGAAGAAAAAGAGGCCCATTAGCAATTTTAGGTCATTTGAAGCAATGTTGACTTTTCAAAATATCCAAAAATTTCCCAACTTCTACAAGGCATAACTTGTTCAATTTTTAAGCTTTGCTCATGTTCTTGGACATTTTGGAAAGGTCTTTGAGTCCTCTAACAAATGCTTTTGATCCCATGTCATTTTGATTTACCAATCTCAAGTTATGGCCTTTGACTTAAAGTCCCTTTTTGTTGACTTTTGAAAATGACCTATAATGTTGAAATTGATAACTTTTTGTGAGAGCATTTCTTGGACTTGAAGTATGAAGATGAGTTGTAGGAAATGTCTTTCTCTTCAAAATGAGCTTTGGATGGAATTTTTATGATAATCCATGTGAAAGTTATGCCCTGGTCAATTTACAGTTGACTTTTCCAACTGTCCAAATGAGGAAACTTTTGCATCTTGAGACTTTTTGAGCCAATCTTTGAGAATCATGATCAAGCATTGATCAAATGATGTTTGTGACTTCAAAATGAGATGTTGACCAAAAATTTGAACTTTTGACTGTCAAATGACCATTTTGTCCCTACAGTTGACTGTAGTGTAATTAGGGTTTTTGACTGTGCAATTTTGTGTTGTAAGTCTTGAAACTTTGTATGAGGATGCTTGACCATATTTGTAGGCATGTGAGACTTGTTTGAACCCTTGGAAACTTCATTTTCTTTGCCAGAACCAAAACCCTAATTTTGACTGTTAGGAGGCCCTTACACTGTGCAACCCTTGGGGAATTTTGAAGCATGACTTGACAATTTTTTGAAGAATATGGGAGGGCAAATTTTGGGGTACAACAGTGGGTGTTGAGGGGATGAATAAGAATGATAGGAGAGTAAAAGGCAGTAGAAATAGAAGTAGGTTAGGAAGAACCAGCAGCCTCAAAAGCAAGGGAAGTATTATTATGAGAGAAGGAAAGAGAAGGTGGAGACTGCTGCAGAAAGGATGAGATAGGTTTAGAAGAGTTTGTGGACTCCTATACAGAAGCAGAGGTAAAAGAACTTTATATTGGAGAATACAGAGTGGAAGATAAAGGAGTCATATGTGGAGTGGTTAAAGAACAGACTTAAGAATCTCATGATAAGGGTGTCCTAATCTTATGTGCCATTGCTCATATAAAAAAAGGCCCTAAGCCTATTGGTACTATTATTTGCATTAGAACTTAAATTGCTTTAAATTGCTGGGATGAGAATTGTTGCTAGTGAGTATATGAGCAACGGGTGCATTATTCCTAATAGAAGACCAAAAGAGTAGAGTCCATCTTTGCCAAGAGATCTTTATAGCACAACTTTAGAAATAGCCTGAGAAGACTCTGTCTCAGCAGCCTTGGCCTGGATTGTCGTTGTATCAGTCAATCTACCTCTAATGGACCCGTCCTTCCCCCTGGTCCTCACTGAAAAATGAAAAATAAAATAAAATATTAGAATAAAAAGACTGTCCCAGAAATTTTGAAATTTCTAAAAATTTTCAAAAAAAAAATTGAACTACCTAAAATATCAAAATTTCAGATAACAAAACCTTTATAAATTTCAAAAAATTTGTAATGCAAATAACTTTTACCACGAATTATCACAATTTTCAGTCTCCCAAAACTAAACTTCAAATTTCTGATATCCCACCCACAAAAATTCTCTCTAACAGAATAAGTGGCAATCCAAGTGATTTTTCATAAGTTAATTATTAAAATATTGTTTTAAGGTCTGAAGCCTTACATCTCTTCTTGTAGCCCATTATTTCAACTTCGGAAATGTAATATGTTAAAGAGTTATATAAACTCTTTCAATTGAGGAATAGTTTTCGATTTGGGATATCAAAACTTCACTACACAACAACATAGCTCTTGACATAGAAAAAGCTCTTGGATATGGATATGGCACACACGTAGCAATATTAGTTCCAAATGAAGCTGGTGAATTAAACAATATTAGTTTTCGTTCAATTGAAAAGAAACAAGAGTTAAAAAGTGTCCGTTAAAATTTTGAGAAAAAGATAGAACACAATCACTTTTCAATATTACAGGAAAAAGAGAAAAAATAGAACAAATTCATTAAAGTGATTATGATACCTCTAAATTAAGTTGAATGAAATATATTTAACAAATTGAATGAAATAACAAGCTACTAAAAAGAAGTAAGTTGAATGAAATATATTTATAAATGATGTTTCATGCTAAGAAAGTTAATATAGGTGCACTCTAATATAAATGATCAATTTTTGAAAACTGGCCTGTTTGTAAGAATTTCAAAGTAGCCTTGATAGGTTCCATATTGATGCAAAAATGAAAGCAAATCAGAAGCTTCAAGTTTAGGCAAACCAGGTAATATAATTTCTGTTTCCAACAAAGGTAAATCCAACCATCCCTTAAAAGCATGGAAATTGTGTTTACGAAGTGTGACTTTTACTCCTTATAAAGTCCCACATCAAACAGTCGAGTATAAAGTCTCATATTAGCTTCCAAAATTGCATGGTTTATAATGTTTTTGTATTAAATCAATGTGAGACTCTATTGCCTCCCTTTGAAACTGCAACTTGATGAAAGTGCCTCACCAAAAGATCCTTATAAGAAAACTTGTAAATTTTGATACCCTACACTATCATAACCTCTATTTGACATCACTGTGAACTAAATTATGTACCTTGGAATCACAGTAGGTTGTCAAAACAATGTTGATTATGTACCTTGGAATCACAGTAGGTTGTCAAAACAATGTTGATTATAAATCTATATACAAGGACGTGTTTGAAAAAATAACTGCATAAAATGGGAATGGTTAGAAGAATGTGACCTCGGCAATTGGTGCAGACATATGCTATAAGTAAAGGAAACTCACTTCCTTGTATATATATAAAAAGTTAAGACTAAAATTGCAGGACTTTACCCCAAAGGGAGTCCTTCCAGAAATTCTCTAAGGCTTGAGTTGAACCCAAGCCTAAGAGGGGGTTTGGAAATAGTTTTCAACCAGCAATAGACGCGCCTCGGTTAGAACCTCACTAGCTGCGTCATTGCCCCAAGCGCAAAGATGATTTTAATGACGGGCTAAACTTCTTTTTATATAACTTCAAATTCATCTAACTTGTCTCATTAGCAATGTGGGACTAGGAAGTTTTGGCAACAACTCAGACAAGCAAATAGTAGAAAAATAGCCCTGTCATCAAACAAGTACCAAATTTCTTGAATTTTACTTACTTCTAATCCAGTCACAAAATTTCTTGAATCTTCAACTCCCAGCTTGACCTCTACTTTTACTACATCTGAAGCCTTTCAGTGGAAAAATCTTTAGAAGACAAAGATGATGTAAACGGAATCATAAAGGACGAGTCCAAAAGACCAAAGGTAATCTAACATTTAAGCAAACATTGACATGAAAATAACATAGACGAAGTAATTTCATCTTGACCCAAAAGATATTTTGTTCCGATGAAAACAATCAGCACAAAGACAATTGAATTTCAACGCAAACATATAACATATATAAGAACTCACCTTGCAACAGAGAAGCTTTATTGAGTTAAACGATCTATTCCATCTTTTATTTAAGCAAGTCTTTAGTGACCTCACCATTTTCTTGATCAAAATCTACCATGGCTATAGCATTCAAAAGAATCCTGTAGAAGAAAAACAGGTTATGCATTCACTATACACAGTTAGACAAAACATACTTTATCAAAAATACCAAATACCAATGAAATATGAAACAAAAAATTACTCTTCATTGCACAAGGTGATCAAATTAACTTTTTCAAACAAAATATAAACGACCCCTCGCCAGGATGTTTAAGCATACATAGTATACAAACTGAGCCACTGATGAACATCTCATGATCAAAAATTTAATTCCAGTTAGGTAGTTACAATTGGGACGAGTTAGTTAAGAACAAGCTTGTATATAAACACTTTCTTCAGTTGTAATATGCATTCTGAAAAGTTGAATACATAATTCAATCTTCAATGTCAATTTCTCTCTCAAATTCCTTTCAATTTTGATCCTCTCTATGGTTCAGTTTCATTCACTAATATGATATAAGAGCTCAGAAGAGCACTGAGCTACTCATTCATCACCATGCCTCCACGAGCTGCGCTTGTTAATGCCAGAAATCAAAATATTCAACATGCTTGCCTCCACAAGCTGCGCTTGTTAATGCCAGAAATCAAAATATTCAACATACTACAAGCATCCTGTTACAAGTACTTCACATCCATCATGAAGAATTAAATTAAGTTTTTGGACTAATTTGCATTGTGCATACAGGGATCAAAAATTCTGAGTATTTTACAGAAATTTATGTAATGTATGAAGAATTTACTTGAACTAAAATTGCAGAACCCTCGTTTAAGAGGACTCTTCCAAAAACTATCGTACGCCGCAAATTGTGACACTGACACGGTATTCTTTAGTAAAAGGCGAAAGAATAGTTCGCTATGTCATCATCACACGGCTCCGTAAGATTATGCGATTAGAGGTCCTTTCCTTTTATACGTAAGGAGCATGGGTTATTTTATGAAGTAGACGATGTGGGACTGATACCCACTCACTAGACCTGGACCCCTCCCTATATCTTTAATTACCAGAGACAATTAGATTTCAATGTATCTTTAATTACCAGAGACAATTAGATTTCAATGTAAATACAGCACATGAATAAAAACCCACCTTGCAACTGCAACAGAGGAGCTGTATTGAGCAACAATCTTTAAAACCCTTCACCATTTTCATGATCAAAATCTACTATGGCATACAAAAGAAGCCTGTAAAAGATAAAGAGGATTTACCTTAGTGTAAGGCAGTTAGGCTTAACATATTTCATTCAAGAAGATACTCTTGATTTACCTTATTGTAAGGCAGTTAGGTGAGATCAATATTACCAATGAAAGATGATAGCCATGGAATGGAGTAAACAACAGATTAAAAGAATGACAAAGCTCATGTCTTTAAAGTTATGGTAAAAGAATGAGATAAGCAGAAGCAATTTTACATGTTGCTCAAAACCCTTTTTTGCAACAGACCCAAAACATCATTTTGCAAATATTTATGAAAAAAAAGTTGATTTTTTGTATTGATTACCTTGCTTGGTTCACAGAGAGAACATGCGCTGGTGTTGATGCGGTATACAAAGCTTTGCAAATGGAAATGGAAACAGTAAAAGAAGAGAGAGAACTAGAATCTTTTCCCTTTCCAAAACACAACTTGCTCCGTTTCCTTCGAGATTCATGCTCCATTTAACAAAACCATAATGCACTGGAAATTTCCAGTAGGAAGACAAAACCTTTCTCCATTTTCCCCCCTCCAATTCTTGGTTTGGTAAAGTGTTTTATTTTACTTCCTCGACTTGTTTCCACGTAACTACTATGTTCAAGCCAACGATGCACCTTAACATTGGCACCTGTGACACGTTTTGTAACCATAATTTTGTGATTTTAGCTAATAGAATAGATTAATGAATATTATATTGAGGTGAAAGAAAAAATTATCAACTAAAGTTATAAAGTTATGTTTCATCAAAGTCACTTAAGCATTGTCTATGGTTAATTTGCTAACACATACTCACTTTCATTTTGATTATGTGTATAAGTAAATAATAATTTTATTAAAAAAATTAATTTATTTTAATTTTTTTATTTTGTCTTAAAAGAGAGAGTTGTGTTAGACAGACGACAGATAATATAAAACTTTGTGAATTTCTTATATAGATTAACTTCGAAATAATATGAATGTTAGGTCGTTGTCCTTAAGCAACGCGGTGTATAGGTCGAGTACAATGTCAAAAGAGTAAGGATCAACGCATCGCCTTTCGGATATAGTGAAAAATAAGGAAGAGTTTTCACATTTTCTTGAACGGGTGCGAGTAAAGAAGTTAGTTCATGAGAGGAGGATTCACTTTGGATCATGGAATATAAGCACACTTACTGGAAAATTTATGGAAATGGTTGGCTTTATGGTTAGAAGGAAGATCAATTATATGTGCCTACAAGAAACTAAGTGGACATGTGAAAAAATGAAAGAATTGGACAGCTCGGAATTTAAGTTTTGGCACACTGGAAATGAGGTGGGGATTATTGTGGATAAGGAGTGGAACAAGGATATTGTGGGTGTGAAAAGAGTATGAGATTGAACCATATCCTTGAAATTTGTAGTGGAGCAAAATACATTTATTGTTATTAGTGCGTATGCACCTCATATTGGGTTAACATAACACCTCGAGGTAAAATTTTGGGAGGATTTAGAAGGTCTACTTTAGGATATCCCCCAATGAGATAAGCTTTTTCTAAGAGGGGTCTCAATGGACATGTAGGTAGCGTGGCAAGAGGTTTTGAGAGTGTGCATAAGGGGTTTGGCCTAGGAGAGATGAATGCGGAGGGTAAATCCATTTTGAGATTTTCGTCGGCTTTGAATCTTACTATAGTAAATACATGGTTTTAAAAAAGAGATGAACATCTTATCACATATAAATATGGGGTGACATATTCTCAGATAAATTTCTTTCTTATCAGGAAGTTAGATATGGATGTTTTTTTGGTGTGTAAAGTTATTCTAGAAGAGATCTTGACTACCCAACATAGAGTTTTTGTTATGAGTGTAAGAGTTAAAGAGAGAGTAAAGAGAATAAGTCATATGGTAGCGCCGCAGATCAAGTTGTGGTATTGAAGGGTGAAAAACAAGGAATTTTTCAACACAAAATCTTGGAGGGAGGGTTTGGACAACCACGAGAAAGTACAAATGATATATGGAACAAGATGGTCCAAGAGATTATAAAAGTGGTTAAAGAGACGTTGGGTGTATCAAGAGGCTTTAGACCAAGGGGTAAAGAATCATGGTGATGGAATGAAAGTGTCTAGAGTAAAGCTAAAGTAAAAAAAGAGCGTCTTAAAGAGTGGTCTAGGTGTAAAAAATTTGAAACTTGGGAAAAGTACAAGAAAGCTAAGAATGAAACAAATAAGGCAGTGAGTAAAGGAATATCCCAAGTTTTTGACGGATTATACCAATATCTAGGAACCAAAGAGGGGGAAATTTTATATATAGGCTTGTGAAGGGAAGAGAAAGAAAGACTAGAGATTTTGATCAAGTGAAGTGTGTTAAATATGAAGAAGGCAAATTCTTAGTTCAAGAAAAGACATACAGGATAGGTGGAATACGTGCTTCTACAAGTTATTTAATGAATTATATGATATCTCACCGGACTCTAATAGACTCTGCATTAGAGAAAGGGATTGAAACTATAATTACTATCGTCAGATTCAGAAACATGAGGTAAAGGAAGCGTTGAAAATAATGAGTAACGGTAAGGTGGTTGAGCCAGATGATATACCTATTGTACTATGGAAAATTCGTGGAGATAAATATATTAAGTGGCTCATCCAACTCTTCAGTGAAATTATAAGGTCAAAACGCATGCCAGATGAATGAATAAGAAGGATTAGTTCTAATCTATAAGAACAAGACATACAAAATTGTGCAAATTATAGGGGGTTAAGCTTATGAGACATACCATGAAGTTATAAGAAAGAGTGATTGGACAGAGATTAAGAAAAGAGAAAGTCACCGAGAATCAATTTGGTTTTAGGTCGGTAAGGTAGACATTAAAAGCTATTTATCTATTATGATGTGTGATGGAGCAGTATCGGATAGACCAACAAGACATGAACTTAACTTTTATTGACTTGGAGAAGACATATGATAGAGTGCCTAGAGAGATTTTGTGAAAATCCATAGAGAAGAAAGGGGTTACAATTGCATATATTCGAGCTATCCAAGATGTGTATGAAGGAATGTCGACCATTGTTTGGATACATGGTGGGGAGACAAATGATTTTCCCATTACAATTGGTTTTCATAAAGGTTCAACTCTAAGCCCCAACCTTATCACCTTAATTTCGGATGTGTTAACATAACACATCCAAGAGCTAGCACTGAGATGTATGCTTTTTACAAATGATAAAATCCTTCTTGAAGAGTCGAAAGAGAAGTTAAATGAGAGGTTGGAAACTTATAGACGAGCTTTAGAAAAACATGGTTTTTGCCTAAGTATAAGTAAGACGGGGTATATGAAATGTAAGTTAAACAAAAGAAGAAACATTTATAACCTAGAGGTGAAAGTTGGAGACCATATTATCCCACAAGTCACGCAGTTTAAATATCTTGGGTCCGTAATACAAAATAATGGAGAAATTGAGGGGGATGTAAACCATCAAATTCAAGTTGGGTGGTTGAAATGGATAAAGGTGAAATGATTTTTATGTGATGCAAAGGTACCACTCAAACTGAAGGGGAAGTTTTATCAAACTGCAGTAAGACCTACAATTTTGTAAGTGTTTTGTTGGCAGCAATTTTGATAAAACAATGACTTGATAATATTTTGCTAAATGTATTAACATTTTAAGCAAAATTGTTTTGAATGATGTCAAAGTAGATGTCTTGACATCTTCCTCCTGAACTGAACTCAACCCAATATAAGTTCATGTTTTATGTTTCCTGTTTTCTTGCGCGCCATAATTCAGGATTTGTGTCTCATAGGCTGCGAAAAATATGGAGGAATATTTTTATATTTGAATTATATTTATAGATTATATCTTGGCCTGTTTTCATGGAAGGATATTATGACTTTGAAAAAAGTATGAGTACGAATCATAGCCTTGAAATATGTAGTGGAGCAAAATACATTTATTGTTATTAGTGCGTATGCGCCTCAGATTGGGTTAGCATAACACCTCGAGGTAAAATTTTGGGAGGATTTAAAAGGTTTACTTTAGGATATCCCCCAATGAAATACGCTTTTTTTAAGAGGGGTCTCAATGGACATGTAGTTAGCGTGACAATAGGTTTTGAGAGTGTACATAAGGGTTTTGGCCTAGGAGAGGTGAATGCGAAGGCTAAATCCATTTTGAGATTTTCGTCGACTTTGGATCTTACTATACTAAATATGTAACGCCCGTAATTTAATTAATTATTTAATTAAATTGTTTTTGGAATATTTGTGAAGTTGTGTTGCGACTAATTGAATTTAATTATTTTATTAAGTGGGGAAATAATATTAGAAGTATAATATTATTGATGTGGGCTTGTTTTTAAGGAATAGAAGTAATAAGGGGTGTATTAGTTTTAAGTCCAATAAGGAATAAAGAATAATAGGGTTATTTTATTATTGTTAGAAAGAATAGAAAGAAGAGGCAGTAGAAGAATAAGGATTAAGGAGAAGAACGTGAAGCTGCTGGAAAAAGAGGAAAAACAGCAGAACAGGAATTCGAGCGGAAGATTATAGAGCGACCTTCAATCCAAGGTAAGAGTGGAGTTCTGACTCTATAATTGGGTTCATGATGATTGGTATGTGGGGTTAGAGGTGATTGTTGTCTTGTTCATGAATTGAATGTATGTGATGTTGTATGATGAAAAATTGATGAATTTTAGATGAATAATGATGTTCTGATGTTGTTTAATTGATGTAGAATTATAGGATAATTGTAAGTGATGATTATCCATGATTAGATTAAGTTTTTAGGGCTTAAAATATGAAACCCGTAATGAAAACACAAAGAAATCGCATAATTTATGCAGGATGTAACAGGATGTGTCGACCCCAAATACTATGTGTCAATACAAGGAGGTTTAGAGACTCAGAATGAGTCGACACGAAGAGGTTTTGCATCGATACATGAGGACCTTTAGACTCAGGATGAGTCGATCTATAGGAGCATGTGTCGATACATGTTGTGTGTTTGACTCATGATGAGTTGATACATGAGGGAATTTGTCGACTCATGTTGCGAGTTCAGTACGGTACGCGTCGATCCAAGACATTTTGCATCGATCCATGTTGCCTGTTTTTTGGCAGATTCAGTTTATAAATGTTGTAACTTGAGTTTTAGGATGCCGTTTGAGATGTCGTTCGAAGCGTTGAATAGCTAACGCGATTATCTTTATTCTAGAGGATTAAAATGAAGCATATGAAATGTAATACTAGTAGCCAATTTAGGATTTAGAGTTTGTTCCCGTGTTGATCGTTATGTTATTTTTTATGCAGAATGATGAGGATGAAATGTTTATAGGCTGTTGTTTGATTTGTAACAGTAGGAGTAATGATAGTAATGATGTAAGATTACAGAATAGCGGTGTGAATTACTGTCGTATTAACGTACAACTGAGTTGTTGATGATATGTTATTAATAATGTTGTGTTGATAATTTATGATGAATAAATGATTTTTGATGAATTATTATGATGATAT